TTTTTTTTTTTTTTCTGAAAAATGATCAGTGCTTCAACGATTGGCAAATAATTTCCAGATGGGTACTGAGTTAAGTCATAAAAGATGAAAAGAATTTGAATTCTAGCGTTATATCTGTTTTAAATGAATCTGGAAGTGCTCAGTATTTTTATCACAACTTTCCACTAACACTAGCTCTACCCAGGCTGCTGTATATAATAACATGAGATATTAGGAAATACAAACTGACACACATAATCTAGAGGGACATATGGAAATGTGTGGTAAGACTTAAATATTTTAAAATAACTTACCCCACAATCCCACCGACAGGAATTTATTTTAGAATGAAGGACATATATTCAATAAAAAAAGGTATAGTTTGTTTCTTACAGAAAAAGTGACAGGCTATTTAAATGACTCTGTAAATGTATTAAAGTACATTTTAAAAAGATAAAATTATCTTGTTACATAATGTTTTTATATATGTGTGTTGATGACTTATCATTAGTTTTAAAAGTTTTAATATTACAGGGGCACCTGGGTGGCTCAATGGGGTAAGCCTCTGCCTTCAGCTCAGGTCATGATCTCAGTGTCCTGGGATCGAGCCCCACATCGGGCTCCCTGCTCAGCAGGGAGCCTGCTTCCCCCCTCTCCCTCTGCCTGCCTCTCTGCCTACTTGTGCTCTTTCTCTCTGTGTCAAATAAATGAATAAAATCTTTAAAATAATATGTATATATATTTTTTTAAAAGCCTATGAAATAATCAGTTTCAGATTATGTTTATGGGATGAGACCACAGTTTATGTGGTGTGTTAGTCAGAGGCTCCTCAGCTTTATAGTTTAGCGATTCAGAGTTCCCCTCAGGGCTTTAGGTTTGTGGAGACACGTATGTTTTTCTTCTCACTCTGGGTGGTATTACCTCCACTTTACAGATGAGGAAACGTGGCCAGAGTTGCACAGTGAATACATCATGAAGCCAAGACAGTGACTACAGAGCAATGTGGCATTTCAGGGACAAAAAAAAAAAAAAAAAAAAGGAATAACATTCCAGAAGAGAAAATTGAGGAAAATGAGCTAACACTTTTAAGAAGGTGGGGTAAGGACAGATCTAGAGATACTATGAAAGGTAAAGGTAGAAAGGATAAGGTTAGTATAAAAAATAGAATATCTAGGTATCGAGTTTTTTTTTTTTTTAAAGATTTTATTTATTTATTTGAGAGAGAGGCAGTGAGAGAGAGCATGAGCGAGGAGAAGGTCAGAGGGAGAAGCGGACTCCCCATGGAGCTGGGAGCCCGATGCCGGACTCGATCCCGGGACTCCGGGATCATGACCTGAGCCGAAAGCAGTCGTCCAACCAACTGAGCCACCCAGGCGTCCCTAGGTATCGAGTTTGTTGTTGTTGTTGTTGTTTTCTTTTTTTTTTTTTATTTGACAGAGATCACAAGTAGGCAGAGAGGCAGGCAGAGAGGGGGAAGCAGGCTCCCTGCTGAGCAGAGAGCCCAATGGGCTCAATCCCAGGACCCTGAGATCATGACCTGAGCCAAAGGCAGAGGCTTTAACCCACTGAGCGACCCAGGCGCCCCCCCCCCCCCAGAATAGAATATCTAACGTTCTTCCAGGACTTCCTGAGATAATCCCTTTTCTTTATTTGTGTCAAATATGAAGCATTTGGGTCCTAAACAAAAATAAGGTATCATTCATGACAATAGAGGCATTCGAGAAGTTAAGGACACGTAGAGTGTTAGTACTGCTGCTTTTTTATGTGTTTCTGTCTTATTTTAACAGTGTAGTTGGTAAAATAAAGTTCCTGTTAGATGCCGTAAATAGAAGAAAGTCACAGCAATGCACACAAATAGGACAGGTGTAATTCTCTGTGGGTTC